AAGAAGAAGAAGAAGAAGAAGAAGAAGAAGAAGAAGAAGAAGAAGAAGAAGAAGAAGAAGAAGAAGAAGAAGAAGAAGAAGAAGAAGAAGAAGAATTATTTGACGTTTTGTATGCACTTTGGAACACGGAAGAAGACATATTGCGATAACATAGATCTATCTATCTGTTTGAAGAATGTGCATTTAATTAGTGAGAAAGAAAAGTGAGTGCAAACCTTAACATAGATCTTTCTAACTATTGAAAGAATGTGTGTTTAAGTAATGAGATAAAAATCTGAGTGTGATCCCGTTCACTTGTATAGTTCTGTCTATCTATTGAATGCCTGTGTGTTTGTTTCATTAGCGAACAGGAAAAAATGAGTGTAAACCTTAAAATAGCTCTGTCTATCTATTTGTTGAATGACTGTGTGTGTTTCATTAGTGAGAAGGAAAAAAATGAGTGCAAAAACTCTTTCACTTGGCTTCGTTCTAGATAGCAGAAATTCTGTCCAGTATACACTGCGGCAGAATCAGCTCCTCTGGTGAGTACGCCTGCCCCTAACGTCTGGGGGGGGGGGGGGTCAGGGGTGAGTTGGGTTTGCAACCAATGGGTCGTTGGTTCGAACCCTGGCAGGTGCCCGACGTTTATTGTGTCCTTGAGAAAATAACACTGTAAATGAATTTTCCCTCTTTTCATTTCACCCAGGTGGGAATGAGTACCCGGCTTTGGATAGCGAAAGATCTTGTCAATTTGTCAGTGTTTAGTGCTTGGGAAGCGAGAATATTTGAGTTTTCTATTGTGGGCTGGGGTATTAGTATTGATAGTAAAGCGCTTTGAGTTAGCAGGAAACATGGGCTAAACAAATGGTAAATGCTATTTATAAAGATAATTACGATGTTGGTGAAGAATTTAATGGAAGCAGCATATCTACTGAATGTTCTGAATAGTTTGGTGGGGTGTCTCATAACCACGTTTGTCCTCTATTGTATTGTTTTATGGTTAAGTGTGTGTGTGTCTGTGTGTGGGTGTCTGTGTGTGGGTGTGGGTGTATGTATGTATGTGTGTGAATGAGTGTGCGTGTGTCTGTGTGTTTATGTCTGCGTGTCTGTTTGCATGTGTTTGTGTGTGTGCGTGCGTGCGTGTGTATATGTGCAGGTGCTTAATTATGTATTCCAGGTGCTGTTAGTGGAGGGTTTGTGTCATGACGGTGTGGGGATTACTGAGGCACTGGTGGGCTCTAGCTAGTTAACATGCAACCAATACCAATCACCTGACCTTAGATAGCTGAAACATTGAATGACAACGCCCAACACGTTGCTGGCATAAGAAAAATGGATAAACCCATGAATATTACTTATTACTTAGCCCGTATTTGACCCCCTTTCTATTTAATATTGTTTTTTTAAGATGTGCTTTATTCTCGTCAGTGTAAGCAATTATTATTCTTACGACGTTTGTTAAAAGATTTTGTCGTTTAGTATATCATGGTAATGGCGGATAGACCTAGTGTTTTTGGTTGTTTTCAATATTATGATACGGGTGTAAAGGACGGTGTCCGATCACTATACGCACGATAGCGTTTGTGTCATGTTACCCTTCGTATTATGCACTGTGGGTATGACGTCAAAGCAGAGTGCCATGTAGAAAATGGGAGTTGCTGCAATGGTTGGTTGTTTGGCTGCTGTGAACGCGGAAATTGAATCAATGATCTAAGCTCTTGTTACGTCATCACGTGTTCTTTTATTAATGAGACTTTATATTTTGTGTTTCAGTGATGATACTAGCAATAGAAATATTTTAATGATAATACAATAACTAGGAGTAATAACAACAACAACAACATCAGCTACAACAACTACCACGACAGTAACCATGATAATAGAACAGAAAAAATAGAAAAATAAGAAAACGATGAAGATTACGGAGAAGAAGAAGAAGAAGAAGAAGAAGAAGAAGAAGAAGAAGAAGAAGAAGAAGAAGAAGAAGAAGAAGAAGAAGAAGAAGAAGAAGAAGAAT